AAATAATTTAATAAAAAAAAAAGAAATAATGTATAGGTCTCCAAAACGGTCCGAGCCTAAAGGATTTCTCAAGAAAATTAACCATTCGTAATTTCTTGTCTTATTTAAGAACTTAACCTTCACATAACATATGACCCAGATGTACTGAGAGATAAGACAAATGAATCAAGGATGGCTGACCCACGGAGTCGAGAGGCAGCCTCCACGATGCATGTGGAAAGTAGAGAAAGGGGACATGCAGTGCAGTCAGTGAACCCTTCCTGCCCACAGTTAAGTAGGTGGCCACAAGGCTCTCCTTGGGGAAACGCCCTCTGCCATCCTAGTCTCAGTGTCCCTTTAAACATCCTGCTGTTATTTCCCTTCACCATAGAATTTCTTGACTTGCTCCCCTCCCATCTACACTTCAGCCCACTGTGCCCCACCGCTCGTGAACCTGCTCTCCTTGAAGAACCCCCTCCGATGATTTCTTTGTTGACAAGTCCAAAAGAATGCTTCTCAATCCTTATCCATGTGACCTACAAGCAGAGTTACCATCTTAATGTCTCTATCTTGACAATATCTGTTTCCTTGGTTTCTGTGCTGCCCAACCCTCCTGACAGTTTTCTCTCTCACACCATGCCCTCTCAGTCAGATCAGAGCTGATCTTCCTTTGTGGTGTTTCTCAGGGGGCTATTTGATCTCCCTCTCTGTTGTGTCTCTGAAAGATCTCATCCACTCCCCTAGCTTCAATTAACTAAATCTGTCTCCATCCAAGCCCACGCTCTGAAGACTTAGACCTATATATGTGACTTCTTGTTAAACGTCACCATTTAAATGTCTCATACAGGCACCTCAGACTCCACATGTCTGTATTACTTCATGTTCACTGAGAAAAATAGCCCATCACAGGCAGTTTGATACAACAAATTTCATGATGATGAAAAAGCTACAAGGGCAAACAGGATGGTAAGACAGCCCAGAGAATCACTAGAGCGGAAAGCCAAAGCCAACGCATGGCTGGAGGGGCAAGGAAGGATGTGACGTTGCCGCAGTCAGAGCCAGGGCTGCCAGGCAGGACCTGGAAATGCAGAGAACAGCTGCCTGGTGGAGCAGGGACCCGGAGGCAAAGTGGAAAGGGAGGGAGAAATAGCCTAGCTTCTCCCTTCCTCCTGCCCTCCAGCCTCCTGCCAATGCTTTCTACTGGCTGACCCTACCTGGAAGAGCTGGCTAGGAAGTCTGGGAGATGAGATTTGTAGGGTCAGCTCTGTGACACTGAGCAGAGCAGTGGAAAGGCAGGGAGTTTATGGGAAGCCAACAAGCAAAGGACAGCGCAATATTCACTTCCCCGTGTCTCCTGTCCCACTGAGTGGAACCATCTTCCACTCACTACATAAGTCATACCTGACCTTTCTCTTCCCCTCATCTCCTACATGTAATCATCCACCCGCTAAAGTAGCTCATCTGTTTCTCTCTTCCTTACACTCACTGCCATGGCTCACTCTTATCACTGCAGCAGGCACCGTTTGCCCTTCTCCTGTCTCCAGACTCCCCCTCTCATCAGCCACTACACTCCAGCCAGGAATTTTCTCATGCAAATCTTACATCATTCTGCTGCTTAATGTCCCACAATGCATCCCCCAACACACACACTGTGCTTAGGATCAAGTCCAGATTCCATGGCAGGTCTTCATTGTCTCTCCAGTCTCCCCTATTGTGACACACTTCTCCACCTCCATGCTCCAACCATCCTGAACTTCACGCCTTTGAATTTCCTGGGACTGCTCCAGTTCAGGCCTTCGCAGGTACAGAATAGCATATTCTTCATGGAATACTCCCCTACCCTCCACGCTCTTCTGACTCACGTTGGCCTCAATGGCATTCTTCTCAAAAGCCTCCCAGGTCTTCCCCGTATGTATTCCCTTGCACCTGACACTTCTGGAGTTACAAGATTTAACAAATAAATCATGCAATTTTAACTGGGCATCCTGCATTTTATCTCGCAACCCTACCTGGTGTGCACTTGTCCCAGAGTATGACAATTGCAGCTTCACATTTTAGTTTCCCTACTTAAGGCTCCAAATTGCTTGAGGATAATGATCTTGTCAATACTGTTCCCCATTTAACTAAATGAATGAGTAAACATGACTGCCTTGGATGGATGGAGGAGTGACTTGTGGATGGGAGTTTTTATTTGAAATCCTATAGGACTGGACTTCAGGCCTAAACAGAAGATGCTTCAAAGACTAAAAGGAAGTTAATGACATGGCTCAGCCAAGCTGGAGGAGGTCAGTTCTAGGGTTCAGGCTGTAAGTGAGGAGCTTGGAGGAGGAAATTGTAGACTAAAGGGAAATGACAGGAGGTGTAACTAGAAATGATTATTTAATGCTTTCAGCCAGTACAAAGCTAAGGGATTAACATCAGCTGGTTGGGGGATTACTTTGGCTCAGTTTTGGGAGTCTTTCACACAGCTGTCAAGTTTGCACTCCTGCTGCAGGGGTTAAAATGGCAAAAAGGCCAGAAGGGTGGTGCCAGCGATGATCAAACGCCTAACTCTTTTTACCTTGGGATGTTTTCCAAATAGAAACCTTAAATCTTGCTATTTGCTGAGCCAGCACCCAAGGGCCAGGAAGGTAACAAATATGAAAGAAGCTGGCAAGGTAGAAGAAAGGCAAATTCGAGCGCGCCATCTAAAGAGGCAGCTTCGACTGGTTCTGGACAACTGTCGCCATGCTGGAATGCAGGCCTAAATTTTCCACCCCTTCCAAGAAAGGACAAGAATCAAGATGTCAATGTTTCATCTCATGATGTTATAATGTGGCCATTAATTTAATAAGTATTGGATGGTTTAAACAAAACATACCTCTGAGCTTATTTTCCGTGTGAGCTTCCAAAACTCCACAATGGAATCAACATGTCACACCAGGTTGAGATCCCCTCGCCTCACAAACCTTGGGCAGTTGTCAATTCAAATTCCAGGAGCTTCTAGTTGCGAATCAATGCCCAAGATGCTCTGCAGAACCTAGGGAAGTGTTTGCAAATTTGCTCCAGGGCAAAATCTGTAGCAATCAGGCATGAATGTAGATTATTTTCCCATGCTACCAATATAGTCATCTGTACATTTAGTCAACATTTATTGACTATTACATAGGGAAGGTTTGATGATTGGTAGACAGTGAGAAGAGACCCAGAAGAACAAGGGCTGAAATCAAGCCCTCCAACCTCCTATCTCTTACATAGATTTATAAAATAAACACACACAATTCAATGACACCTATGTGGCCATACAAGTTATTTACATGTTTATCTACTCCCATTGTAGTTGGTTAATAGTAACTGTCCCAGTCCCGGCCTTGCTGTTCTCAGATTCCAGCAGGAAGGAGAGTGGGCCAGGCACCGCAGCGGACCAATGCGGGGTACTCCTCTAACCCTCCCCAGGTCGTGTGGCCCCCTGCAGCCCACAGGTGCTCTCCTGCAGTGGCCATTAGAAACTGCGGCCTTTACAGGGTACCATCCTGATTGTTCAGGGTGTTGTTACATACCAACTCTCCAAAGATAAAGTAAAATAATAAATGTCCCCCAAATGCACAAATTGCTTCTCTCCCTAATCGCTTTTCTTGACTAATTCCTGCTCTACTACTTGGATCGCAACTCAAATGTCACTTCCACTTCTCAGTCTGGATGGTGTCTCCCTTAATCCAGTCTCACAGCTTTGTTCCTTTACTTCTTATCTTATATTGGTTTATTGTCTGCCTCCCCAAGGAGGCCATGAGCTCCACAAGGGTAACAGAAAGCAGAATTTGGCAAACTATGTGGCTTCCATATGGCTTAGGTGGAGATGGCCACCAACTCAGCATGAAAGGTGGGCTCTGATGGATTCCAGCCATCTGGGAGAAGCAGGTCCCTTCCTCCAGACCCTAGTGATTGGTTCAGGAATGAAAACCTGACCTAGGGCAGCTCAAGCAGAGCGAGCCTGAGCACTCTGGCTGGGAAGGCAGACACAGACCTATTCTGAAGAGGCAATGTCACCATGGTGGTTATCACGAAGCATGACGTGAAGGACGGCGAAGGTGTCGAGTCTGAGAAGGGTGGGCCCAAGGACTATATATCATGGGCCTTTGCAGCAGACCAGACCTGGGCTGGCCCTGCCTTTGGACTTTTCAGTTATATCAACCAATAAATTCCTTTTATTTTTTCTTTTGTCAGTTTGGATGAAGTTTTCTCTCTATTGTGACCAACAAAATCCTAACTGATGTCATACATTATTTTAGCTTGCCCCTGTATCCACAAGAACCTTGCTCATGGAAAACACTGAATAAATATGTTGCATAATATGCTGATAAAGTAATATGCTGAGAATTGGGCCAGGCTTAATGGGGGAAGTGACTAGGTGACAGCTTTAATTTGAACATATTTCTTTAGAAAATGTATTAAGATTGCCCTGAATTTAAATGCATCAGAAATTCAGAAATATTTTCTCCAGTGTATTTGATAGCAGAACACTTACTACCTGAGGTTATTAACCTGATCACCTGTCATTTTCCAAGAACTTCTGAGGGTTTCTGTTTCAACCCCTAGACTTTCAACCTAAAGAAACTGGTTTTAAAGTGGGGGAAGGGAGCGGGAAGGAATGATTCAGCCTCTAGCTGCCTTTTACTCTGCTGGATGGTTGTTTTTATCCCCAGAATGACCTATAACTTCTTACATTTCAACCTCAAGTTCCACTTCTCAGGCATTTAAGATGCCTTTGGCTTTTTACCTGGCTTGAAGCAAGCCACAATTTTGTTTTTCTTCTGGGGGCTATTTTGCTAGGCTAGAGTTCTCAGAAGTGACTTTAGGTTGTTATGTGACATCTTTCAAAATATAATCAGGCTGTGTGGTTCATGATCTGGCTATTAAAGGTCTGTGTTGCTAAATGGCTGTGCTTCTAAAAATGTTGAGAAATAAACAAACTTGACTGGACAGTGAAAGAAAATTCTACAGGTTGGTCCCTATATCCTGATCAGGAGATTCTTTCCTCCTTTGCTGGTTCACCAAAAGCACACTTGCCCATCCATACTCTTCACATTCTCAATATATGTTTGTTACTCTCAGGGCTCCTGGACTATATATACCCCACTGTTGGCTTTTGACTATATATACCCCCCAAATGTTGGCTTTTGACTATATATACCCCCCAACTGTTGGCTTTTGACTATATATACCCCCCAACTGTTGGCTTTTGACTATATATATATCCCCCAACTGTTGTGTGCATACCTTTGCTTATATTTTAGGTTTTTTTCCACTAGCAGAGAGGTGAGTAGGTTGTAAAAATACTGGTGGAAAATAAGCAATAAATCACTTTCTTTTTTCCATTAAATAAGTCCACCTGTATTATCCTTTTTAGGGAACAGATATGCCACTCGAAGTTTGATGAAGAACAGGATAGTTAGGGTCTGAAAATATCTCTCCACAAAAGATTTATTAACTACAGAGACAAATAACTTGACAGTGGAGAAACCTCATGAACACTACCTGAATCAAGACACCAACGAGACTGACAGACATACATCAGGTGCCTCCTAGGAGGCACTGAGGACACAATATCACTTCGGTGGTACCTTTGCCAAAAATGCATAACCTGAAACAATCATGAGGAAACAAAGGACAAACCCAAATTGGGGATCAATCTATGCAACAACCAGCATATGCTCTTCACGAACTGCCAATAACCTGAAGAACAAAGAAGTTGAAGAACTATTTCATATTTAGACTTAGAGATATGAGAATTAAATGCACTGCATGATTGTGGACTGGTTCCTGGGCTGAAAAAAATAGCTGTAACGGATGTTACTGGAATAGTGGCAAAATTTGAATATGGACTATAGGTTAGTCAGCAGTATTGATGTTAAATTTCTGACGTACATCATTTTGCTGTGGTTGTGTAAGAAAATGTCATTGTTCTTAGGAAATCATCATTGTTTGGAGGTAAAAGGGCACAACATCTCCAACTTACCTTTAAGTGGTTCAAAAAAAAAAATGTATATATGGAGAGTGAATGCCAAAGCAAATGAAGCTAAATATTAATAATTATTGAAACTAGGTAAAGCATATACAAAAGTTCTTTGTACTAATCTTGCAACTTTTCTGTAAGTTTGAAATTGTATCTATCTATACCTGTATATTTACATAGATATACAAAATAAACATACACAATTCAAAATCATTTATAACCCAATGCATCAACCTAAAATCCAGCTTATTCCTCAGGTGTTCTTAGACGATGTGCATATAAACAAAGGCTAGGGTACCAAGTGACAGGGTGAACATTTTCATTAATTAGGGCTTGTCTACATTTCTACTAACTTATGTTTGTATTTGAACATTTGACTTCCTTAAACTTAGAGCCAGTAATACATTTAAACACTCAAAGTACAAAATCCATACTTTTGCCCAAGTAAGGCCCAAAGTTGTCAATATTCTCATGCACTAACAAGAAAGTAAGGCTAAGTTCTATAACCTAACTATAGAACATTTGTGTACGTAAACTTTTTCTTATATGCCCAGTTCCCTATTTTCTTAGAAAATCCAATTTACATCTCTGGGATTTCAAATACCACAAGGTCTTGTTTTTGTCACATCAAATGAGCTATTTTACTCTTTAGCTTTAAAAGAAATTCAGCAACACTATGCTCACTGCTAGCTTTTCTCTCTCTCCCAATAGCTCTTTGATCATGCTTTCCCATCCACTCTGGAATAATCCAGAGGTAATTAGAACTTCTTACCTTCTTTAGCCCAAAAGAAGCCAATTTATCACAAACTGTCATGGATTCCAATTTTAAATTACCAACAGCCCAATTACCGACAGAGGCAAGGAATCTTCTCTCCAATTAAAGTGATTGATTTCTTCCCAGAACCAGTAGCATTTCACTGTTTAATTATGTTCATTCCAATCAAATGTAAGAAAATTCTTCATTTTATTTTCCTTCCAAAGAACACACACAGCAAACATTAATCATGGAGTGATACAAGGCCAGACCTGCTAATGCCTTCGGCAGAATTGGACATCTAGCAATGGGTCTTGTCCATTTTATGGGTCTTAGTGGCTCCTTCAGTTCGAGAGGAAGGAAATAATTATTTGTTACATCACACAGTTCACTTAAGGGATTGGCAAACCTTTCAGCATCAGCTAAATTGTAGAGATGGCACTAGATATTGAGATATAGACTGTAATGAGATGGCATTAGATACTGAGATATAGATTATTGGGGGAATGAAGACTCAGGGACAGAACACAATTTTGTTTCTTGGGCAAAGACTAGAACCTTAGTGTTGGAGATGAAGCAGTGTGTGGAGGTAAACATAAGGGACATGGGAACAACTGTTTTTTCTCACTTGGATGGCATTAGTATGATTGTGTTGTCAAGAATTTTGAGAAAAATGAAACTTCAAACTCAGTTTGGGGGAGAAATACAAATTGGAGGATCCAAAGGAACATGAGGCCACCACATCTTAGATTCCCCAAGGCACTTGTGTATTCTGCTGATAATCTTAATGGAAAGACTAACTGGTTCTAGCTCCTGAAGCCTGCTGACCCAGGGGCCTCCTTATCTCCCCTTCCACCTCTCTCCACGTGGTCAGCAGACTGGCATCAGTTCATTCACTTGAGACATACTAAGGTCAAGGTTTCCACTCAACAAGCATCTTCCAGCCATCTGTGTCTAGACAACAGGGACTACCCTTTATACTTGGACCAAGGCAGTTGCTGACCATTTTCAAAGCTTTAACAGATTTTTAAGGATGAGTCTGGGAGCCCTCCAAGATTTTAAATTTCTTCAAGCAGTCATATCTGATTTTAGAAAATGAATTTACTACCGTATACTAAGCTGTTGAAAATTTTAAAAATCCATATATGTGAGATTATACCTCTGCTCTCATAGCCTGTTTGTGAAACTCTGGAAGACCACCATGACCAAAACTTTTCATTCATTAAACAGACAACTGTTGAGCACCTCCTCAGGGCAAAGCAGGATGCCAGGTGATGGAGGTGAGGAAACGTGGCTCCTTCCTCGCTGCTCTAATGGGGAAGGCAGACAAGCAAACACCTCAGTACAGTCAAGAGCAGAATGAAGGTGCTGTGATGGGATTAATGGGTCACCCTTATAAGAGCAAAGGAAGAGCATCGTTCCAATGGAGGCGACACAAACAGGGTCATGCAGTTGCCTGGCATCTTAAAGGAAGGTCGACCTTGCTGACTGGGGGCAGGACCTCCAAGCTTACGTGTCGTAGCATGGGCAAATGCACACCACACAAGAACCATAAACATAAGAGGCCAGGTCAGATGCTATAAAGCTGTGATTGCCAGGCTAAGGAGCCTGGGATTTGTTATGTAGCACAGGGGGAATTAATAGTGCCACTGGCTGTGCTGGGATGGGTGGGTGAGGGCAGAGGAGGCTGCAAAATAATCTGCTGGGCCAACAGAGGCGGCCATGGCAATGGTAATGGAATTAAGTGGAGATTCAAGGAACTTGGGGCTGATACAAACCAGACACTTGCAATGGTCACATGAAAGGATGAAGGAGGAGGAGAGCTTGACTCTATTACATGGGAACACTTGGTTGGATTCCATGAACTGGCTGGCTTTTGCTATTTAAACATTTATTGTGTTATTATTCACATCCTGCATTGAGCCCTGATAAGTTCTTAAACATCCCTGAGATAAGTGGGGAGTTATTTCAACTCTCCTTTTATAGATGAGAACACCAAGACTGGAAGGCTTAGCCCTGACCAGGGGAACCCGAATAACCCAACTGGTAGGTACATAGCTGGGATGAGAAATCAGTATCGTCTTCATTATACAATCCAATGATACATGACGATAGCTCAAAACCATCCGACTGGCAAGTTTCTGGCCTGAGTGGAACAGAGTTCACGGAACTTTACACCGGCAACTGTGATGGAAAGTGGTTTTGCCGATAATGTCCATGCCAAAAGCCAATGAAAAGCTACCATGGTGCATTGAATCGTTTAAAAAACAAAACAAAAAAATTAATGTATAGGATTCAAGTCTTGCACCTTTGGCTGAACTAAATTAAATTACCCTTCTCAGAAGCTATTTTTAGACTCAGTTCTCCCATCATCAAGTTTAAAAACGAACGACCTGTCTAAAAAGCAGGTAAAGAAATTCACTGACAACGGTTTAGATGCTTCAGGACTTTAATGTCCATCATGTATTCAACATAAAATACTGACAACTGATAAACAATAGGGAAAAGACTCTTCAGCAAGGATCTTCCAAAACACAGCATCCCTCTGATGAAACACTATAACGAGAACAGCCAAATGAACAAAACGATACGGGAGTTTCACAGAGATTTTCAGTTTAACGGCATAACTAAAAAAATAAAAGAACCAACCAACCAACCTTTTCTTTTACTCACTGAAAGGAAAACAAAAGTAAATCGTGGAACTTCTAAATCTTGTGAAGCAGCTTAAAAAGGGAGGAGGGA